AAACCGCTTAGAGAGGGCTGAAAGCCCTATGAAGCGGTATATAAGTCAAATAAATATATATAATTGTATGGTACTGCTCCCCCCCAAAAAAGTGGTATTATTAGCCATCAAACCTCAAAATTACTGTACACTTTTCCCAACAGATTTCCACAATTTTGACCACTATTGTACTGACCTTGGAATTATCACCCTGTATTTGCCATGTATTGTCTTAAAAAGAACCCTCGGCGAAGAAATGAAATATATATAACAGGATTATTTCAGCACCCAAAACTAGTTTTAAGGCTGACAGGTATGGAAGGCCAGAAGGTTCTGGCATTCTTGCAGAATAAGGTTAATTCACACAGACGCCTCTGTTGCGTTTCCCAACAACTTTGGCTTTTTCAAAAGCCGAGAGGAAATCTTATGGGTTCAGTTGTGCTCTTGGGTTGAGGAGCGAGGCAGAAAACGCGCTTCAGCTTCTGCAATTCTTCTACTTCTGCTTCCCAGCTTTCCTAACTTCAAGGCACAGCGTGGATCTCTCGGAGGGAAGAAACACCCAAGTGCTGACAGGTTGGCCTACAACGGGGTGAGGATTTCCCCTGGGGTGGAACCCCGTTTCCGCTCACTGCAACATTATGTCCTTAAGGTTCTCCTGGAGGATTGTATCCTTCACCGCGTGGAAGACGAAGCGGATGTTCTCGGTGTCGATGGCGGTGGTGAAGTGGTGGAAAAGGGGCTTGCTACGGTTCCGTCTCTTCCGGTCGAAGCACTGGACCAGGTAGCGCTGGACGTCTTCCAGGCGGTGAGGGTCGCCCCTGAAGTCCGAGAAATACTTCTTGATGCTGACCGTCTTGACTTTGTCCACCAGGAGGTCCATTTTGTTCAGGAAGAGGATGATGGAGACGTTGAAGAAGAGCTTGTTGTTGACGATGGTCTCGAAGATGTTCATGGACTCCACCAGCCTGTTGGTGCGCCGGTCTTCCATCAGGACCTGGTCGTATTCGCTGGAGGAGACCATGAAGAGGATCGAGGTGATGCCGTCAAAGCACTGGAACCACTTTTGGCGCTGAGACCTCTGCCCGCCCACGTCCACCATCTTGAAAGGGATCTTCTTAATGATGAAGTCGTGCTCCACGATCCCTTTGGTGGCCTTCCTAGCCAGCAAGATGTCTTGTTTGCTGGGGAAATAATTCTGCAGAAAGAAGAAGAAGAAGAAGAAGAAGAAGGAAAGAAAGACACGGGTAGTAGGAGAAAGATCACACTTCGAAAAGGAAGTTAAGTTCGCCAAAGGAGCGTTTGGATAAGGGGTGTAAAACTCAAGGCCCAGGGACCAGATCTGGCCCATGGGGCCACCCTGGAAACATCCACGGACCCGTGGTGCTCCCGAGCTCCGTTTTTGGCCGCGGCAGCCTTCTCCAACCCTCTGCCAGTGAAAACGGAGCTCGGGAGCNCTGGCTGGGGAATTCTGGGAATTGAAGTCCAGACATCTTCAAGTTGCCAAGGTTGAGAAACACTGCTCTAAGTGGTTTACAGAGTCAGCATATTGCCCCCAACAACAATCCGGGTCCTCAAAAATGACTTGTTTTATACTCACCCACATACATGATCTATAAAACTTATTAAGGTTAAAGGTTCCGCCCTTGCACATGTGTGCTAGTCGTTCCCGACTCTAGGGGGCAGTGCTCATCTCCATTTCAAAGCCAAAAAGCCAGCGCTGTCTGTAGACATCTCCGTAGTCATGTGGCTGGCATGACTCAACGCCGAAGGCTCACGGAGCGCTGTTCCCTTCCCACCAAAGGTGGTTCCTATTTTTCTACTTGCATTTTTAATGTCCTTTCGAACTGCTAGGTGGGCAGAAGCTGGGACAAGTCACGGGAGTTCACTCCGTTACACAGTGCTAGGGGTTCGAACCGCCGAACTGCTGACTTTTGTGATCGACAAGCTCAGCATCTTAGCCACTAAGCCACCGCGTCTCTGACTCATTAAATAAGATGGATAAAATAACATAGTATGATTTTTATATATATAATCAGTTTCTGTCCAATGGGACAATCATAAAATCTCATCTTGGAACTGAATGCAATTCTATATGTGAGAGAAAAATAAAACAGAAGATCTCACTCCAGCTTCCTCTAACCTGGGCCTTCAAATGATTTCTGCTTCCATAATTCTAGTTGATCCTTGTCAGTAGGTCCCAGCATTTTTTTTATTTCCCATTCCTCTCAAATGAAAACAACAACACACAGACAATGTCTGTATTGATACTGTCAAGAGAAAGGAGCAAAACAGTAGCTGGGGCCTACAATCCCTGCTTGGGTCATCCATCACTGCCTTAGAATAATATTAAAAAGTCACCCTTGAGGTTGATATTGGCGAGAGTCAATTGCTCAGATGCCAAGCAAGGATCTGCAGCCCTTTTTCTTCATTAGTTTCGGTGTCACCCAAATATCTCAGAATAGGTGCCTCAAGATGGGAAAAGTCTGTTAGAATAGAGTAGAGTTGGAAGGGACCTTAGAGGTCTTCTAGTCCAACCCCCTGCCTAGGCAGGAAACCTTATACCGTTTCAGACAAATGGCTATCCAACATCTTCTTAAAGACTTCCAATGTTGGGGCATTCACAACTTCTGGAGGCAATGTCTGTTCCACTGATTAATTGTTCTCACTGTCAGGAAATTCCTCCTTAGTTGCTTCTCTCCTTGATTAGTTTCCACCCATTGCTTCTTGTCCTGCCCTCAGGTGCCTTGGAGAATAGCTTGACTCCCTCTTCTTTGTGGCAACCCCTGAGATATTGGAAGACTGCTATCATGTCTCCCCTAGTCCTTCTTTTCATTAAACTAGACCTACCCAGTTCCTGCAACCGTTCTTCACATGTTTTAGTCTCTAGTTCCCTAATCCTCTTTGCTGCTCTTCTCTGCACTCTTTCTAGAGTCTCCACATCTTTTCTACATCTCTTTTCTTTGTTCCCTCACTTGCCTTGGCCACCTCGCTGGAAGAAAACGGTGTGCCCAGGGTATATCACCTGTCAAGGCAGAAGAGGATGGCGCATAGCTCTGCCCTGTTTTCTTGGCAGCATCTCCTAAAACAGTGTTTCTCAACCTTGGCAACTTGAAGATGTCTGGACTCAACTCCCAGAATTCCCCAGCCAGCATTCGCTGGCTGGGAAATTCTGGGAGTTGAAGTCCAGACATCTTCAAGTTGCCAAGGTTGAGAAACACTGTCCTAAAACACTTGACTGCAACAGAGAAAGAGAGATGTGGAGAGCTAATGGCCACCCCTCACCTCCTGGATCTTCAAGAGTTCTTCTCAATAAGAACTCCAGGTTGGTGCCTCCTTCATTCTGTTCTAAACGTAATTAAACCTGGGAAACGTAATTAAACCAAGGCATATTCAGCCTTGAAAACCTTCACAGATTGATGTCCCTACTATAGAAAGAGTGGGGGTTTTTTTGTGTCAGAGCCTGGTCTACACAATTATGGCATGGGGCATACTCCTCCCGTTTTCACCTTTCGGCCCCAATCCAGGAGCCTTCGCAGGCAGTCGCTTTTGCGACAAACTATTTTTGTCTTTAATTTATGTTTAACTGACAAAGAAATAGAGGGAGACTAGTATGGATCTATTTCAAGCTATTTAGCTCTCATCAGCTAGCCATGCCCTTACTGGGATTCAAACCCGGGCTACTTGCATATTAGGTAGATGTATTAACCTCTAAGCCACGGGCTATCCTCCCTTTGTCGGCTATACCATGGGAAAGATTAAGTGTTTTTCGTCAGGGCAGCCTGGTCTACCCAGTTATGGGACGGATTGATAAATTGAACACAAAAATAGTTTGTCGCAAAAACGATTGCCTGTGAAAGCTCCTGGATTGGGGCTGAAAGGTGAAAATGGAAGCAGCATGCTCCATCCCATAATTGGGTAGACCCGGCTGCCCTGACAAAAAAGCACTTAATCTTGCGCCTGGCATAGCCGACAAAAGCAGGAGGGCCTGTGGCTTAGAGGTTAATACATTCTAGCTAATATGTAAGCAGCCTGGGTTCGAATCCCAGAATCCTAGCTGATGAGAGCTAAATAGCTTGAAATAGATCCATGCTAGTCTCCCTTTATTTTTTATTTCTTTTTAATTGTTAAAAAAGAAAATGTTGAACATGGTGAAACCATCTTGGCGGTCTCTCCGCCATACAGCAAATAACACAAATCTTTGCAATGCAGACGAGACTCCCTTTATTTCTTTTGTCAGTAAAACATAGATTCAGTGCTCTAGAAAGGTTTCCAAATCAGTCACTCTGTCTTTAGAAACAGAGATACACGCCCTGTTGAAGGTCCATCCTTGAGACCCAGGTCATTTCTACAGTATGCCAGAGAATTAAGGTTGCAGAGAGCTGGCCTAAAACACAGACAACCCAAGACTGTTATTACATCAACCGACACAGCTCGAATTCTGCAGGGAAAATTCAGCATTATTATTATTATTATTATTCAAGTGGCTTGCCATCTTCCCTCCACCAAGCTTCAACCTGCCATTTTGTTTTCCCCCCTCTTGCATCATTTTTTATAGCTTGAGTCAGAAATCCCTCGGAGGCATATTTCGAAATCATGAGATCTGCAAAGGTCCACGTTTCCAGGGAACAAATGCAGTATAGTATTTTCAGAGACAAAGCCCCTTTTGTAACCCGTGTTTCTTGTATCTGGAATTGTGAATAATCTGGGCAACATAAGTTTCCCTCTGATCTTTTAGAGTTAATAAATCAACGCCACATGAGAACTCACTGGACTGGCCATCCCTGAAAATACACTACCGGCTCCTTTCTCTAATCCCACCCCACTCCAGTGACGAAAGGGGGACACTCCAGCACTTGGCCTATGTAGCACAAATAACATAGTTGGGAGGGGCCTTGGAGGTCTTCTAGTCCAACCCCCTGCTCAGGAGGAAACCCTAGGCCATTTCAGGCAAAAGGTTGTCCAAGTCTCTTCATAAAAAACCTCCAGTGTTGGAGCATCCACAACTTCTGGAGGCAAGCTGTTCCACTGGCTGTTTTGCCTTCTTCATACCCGCAGAACTGAAGAAGCTTCTTAGATGGGAAGTGAGACATCTTCAAGGAAAAACACGCTCCCGCTGCCTTTTGAAAAAGCACCTTTGACCCGGACGACTGAGAATCTCCATAGACTGACAGGTCCCATCACTTCTATTCACAGAGGCTAATTTTTTTTCTTTTGCCTAGGGGTTTTAAGGAAGAAAGGCCAGGATGGACGTAGATCCTAATTCCTTAAAGTCCTGGTTTTTATCTCTTTTTGTCAAGCGGCAAAAATGGAGCCCTTCCTCCCACTGACAAGCCTCCTCCTGCAGCAACAACTCTTTGGCCAACAAAGTAGACCCTTCTTCCTTCTCTACAGCGTTTAAGAATCCTTTTCTTTTCGAGTGACAACCTAGCTGTCCTTCCTTATGACTTCCCCTCTGCTTATTCCAGGCTGCCCCCCTCCTGTGGAAAATTAAGTCTGGGGGCTGGAGAAAAAGTTTCATCAGATTGCATGGCTACCTGCCTGTCGCCACGTGAGCTCTGATTGCCGCTCAAGACCCAGCTGTTGACGAAGGGCAGTCCTCCTAGGAATCCCTCGGCTCTTTCGGCCTGGATTTGGTGAGCTCAGAATGACATTGTGATTTATAACAAGAGTTTGCTAATACTAAAGCAGTGATCTATAATGAATTAGACAAGGCTCATCAGATGACCTGCTAAGCTTTGAACAAGGAGGAACTGCATTACCTACATTTTTGCCTTACTCTTCCAATTTTCATTGAAAACCCACACAAACACAGAGAGGGACAGAGAGAGAGAGAGAGAAACTGAGACAGAGAAAGACGGAGAGAGACAGAGAGACAGAGAGACAGAGAGACAGAGAGAGCGAGACAAATACAGAGAGAGAGAGAGAGAGAGAGAGAGAGAGAGAGAGAGGCAGAGAGGCAGACAGAGAGAGACACAGAGAGAGAGACAGAGAGATGGAGACAGAGAGAGAGAAACTGAGACAGAGAAAGACGGAGAGAGACAGAGACACAGAGAGAGAGACAAATACGGAGAGAGAGAGAGACAGAGAGAGAGAGAGAGGCAGAGAGGCAGACAGAGACACAGAGAGACAGACAGAGAGATGGAGACAGAGAGAGAGAAACTGAGACAGAGAGAGAAACAGAAAGACAGAGAGACAGAGAGACAGAGAGACAGAGAGACAAAGACAGAGAGAGAGAGATAGAAAGACACAGAGAGAGATATAGAGAGAGGCAGAGAGACAGACAGAAACAGAGAGAGAAAGACAGAGAGAGAGAGAGACAGAGACAGAGAGGGACAGAGAGAGAGAAAGAAAGACACGGAGAGAGAGAGAGACAGAGAGAGACAGAGACAGAGAGAGACAGAGAGACAGAGAGAAAGACAGAGAGAGACAGAGAAATGGTTGAGGGGGAGCACCAACCTCTTATCCCTCCACAGCAAAATGAGAAAAGCATCTCCTTACTGTGGGAATTAAACATTAATAGCCACCAGACCAAAAATATCCAATAAAGGACGGAGAATAAGTGACTTAGCTGAGCCTCTGAACCATACAGACATACTGTGAACAAGGAAACACAGGAATTGTGGCCATCCCTGCATTGCGAACATCCGTGCTCTGCACATCTCAAGCACATCTCAAACAGTACCCAAAGCGGTGATGTTAAAACTGAAGGCTACCATCTACATACCATGGTTTCCTTCCATTGAGTTTAGAGGGACGGAGAGAGAGGAGTGGCTGCCGGATAAATCCTGAGCCTCATGTTGCCCCAGATTCGTTAGTCCGACTTGATTCAGTCCCTTGCTGCCTCCTCTTCCTCTTCCTCCTCCATTTTGCTTCCCTAAGAACTCAACATCCAAACGAGAGTTTTGGAAAGAGACATTTGCGGCCGTGGTGTTCCAATGGCCAACATACCTTGTTGACTTCCTAACCGAAGACAGTGGAAAATCTTCAGGGGGGGAAAAAGCAAAATAAGCTTTAAGGCAGAGGTCCCCAAACTTGGCAACTTGAAGACTTGTGGACTTCAACTTCTATGCTGGCTGGAGAACTCTGGATGTTGAAGTCCAAAAGTCTTCAAGTTGCCAAGTTTGGGTCCCTCTGCTTTAAGAGATCGTTTTTATGGCAGCCTTCCTCCATTCTCACACCACTGATATGTATCATGGATATATCGTTTCCAGAATATGTAAGTCCACATTCAAAGTAGACTCAAAATCCTGGGCAATGTAATCTTATAGGGGAAGAGGAGAATAAGACTGCTCTCATGTCAACACATCCAAATAAACTCCAGGAACTATAACTTCCCTCTCATTACACCACGATTCCTGGTTAGCTGAGCAGTCACGAGAAAGGCAACAGCTATTATTCTCATCTTACTGAAATGGTAGATTACATGAAATATATAAACAAGGTATTACCACAACAGAACGAGCTGGGTTTTGTTTTGTTTTTTAAAGCTGAATAAGGCACCAGGGGAGATGGAAGCACAATAGAAACCTCTGCAAATAACTGTTTTATTTCTTATCTACCCATTAAAAAAAAGTCACACTCACCCCCTAAAAGAAATAACGTGTCATATGGGAGCGCTGCGTGCAAAATAGCTCTTTATTACAAACGGTGGCATGCATTAAAACCATCATGGAGGCTGCCGAGTGAGTCAGGCGCCATTAACTCAAATGCTGGCAATCCAGGGAAATTTTTAACCCTTGCAAATTATAATACTCGTGTTTTTTCTCTTTTTAATTTCCTCCCTTCCATCTCCCTGCTTTGGGACCAAATCCCAGGCATGCAATTATCCGAGACTTCAAGTGAAACATTTTTTTTTTGTAAAGAATTTCTTTTTTTTAAAGCCAGGCTTAAAAGAAACAAATGTTACGGAAAGGAAGATAAGATAAGATGTAAGTTAGGGGGCCATCGCGCCGTTTTCAAAAGAGAATGTGTTTTCCATCTGTTTCGTCCACCCCCACCCGGCATCAATGCCAGATAATAAATTGGCATTCCAACCTTCTGTTCAAGAAAACAACCCTTCCATTTGTCCCCAGCATCCTCCAAACCCCCCCAGCCCCCAGCCCCCAGCCCCCACTCCGCTGTTGCTGCCGCCGCCTTTGTGTCTGATTGATGAGCTGGGGACAACAAAGCCAAAGAGACCCAGATAGGCCCTGCTACGTTGCTCCTCTGGAGACCCATTTACATTCGGGCTGGCCTTGTGCGCCAAGATTTCACGGCAGACAGTTGGTCTCCAAAAGGCCCCCCGAGAATTGAGTTGTGTTCCCCGAGGACTAGAGGCTGACGATCTTCGAAAAACCCTGGTTTTGAATCCAGAGGATTTTTCCAGCCACCATGGATCGGGATCTGGGCTCCCGACAGATTTAGAGAGCACCCAACTGGCTGGCGTAGAAAAGAAACGCGGGATCTTATGATCAAGCAAAATAAACTCCTTCCCTTCGAGAGCTCAGGAGCCAAGAATGAAGCCCTTGGAAATGATATTCAGAGTTGGAAGTAGAATAGTACGGAAGCAGAAATACACCAATGAGAGGAAGAGTGGAAAGCAGAAAGGAGAAGAAAGNCAAAGAGAAATAGAGACAGAGAAAGAAAGAAAGACAACGAGAGAGAGACAAAGACAGAGAGAAAGAGAGACAGAAAGAGACAGAGAGACAGAGAGAGAGACAGAGAGAAATAAAGAGAAAGAGAGAGAAAGAGAAAGACAGAGAGAGACAGAGAGAGAGAGAGAGACAAAGAGAAATAGAGACAGAGAAAGAAAGAAAGAAAGAAAGAAAGAAAGAAAGAAAGAAAGAAAAAGAGACAAAGAGAGAGAGAGAGAGAAAGAGACAAAGAGAAATAGAGACCGAGAAACAAAGAGAGAGACAGAGAGGAAGAGAGACAGACAGACAGAGGTAGTTCTCAACTTATGATCACAATTGAGGCTGAAATTCCTGATGCTAAGTGACACACTTGTTAAATGCATTCTGCCCTGTTTTATGACCTTATGTTAGGAATACGGTCGGGGAGTGAGTCAGGCTTCCCCATGGACTTTTGCTGGGTGGACGGTCGCCAAAGGTGGATGCTGCAACCGTCGGGGATGCTGTGACTGTCATAATACGGGTCGGTGCCCCAGTGGCTGAATCTTGATTGCAGGATTCCGCAAGGGTCATAAGACTGAACAACAGCCCCAAGTCGCTTTTTCCAGGGCTGCCGTAACTTGGAGCGGTCACTAAGTGAATTGTCATAAGTCGGGGATGGCCTGTATGCGGAAGGAGTGTGCCCTAGATGAGGTGGGTTGGGGGGAGGGGGTTCCTTAAAACCCAGACTTTTGACATTTTTTAATCCAGGTGAATTGATTTACCGGGGAAATTGGGAATGTGGATCAAGGCTTCCAGTGGCTCCGTCTTTTCTTGGAGGGGAAATGAAAGGAGACCCTCGTAAGAGTGGTGTACGGGTGGGTGGGTGGGTGGCCCTTGAAATCAATCAATCCACCAATCAATCAGACAGGCAGGCAGGCAGGCAGACAATCAATCCGTTAGTCAGCTAATCAGTCAGTCAATCAGTCAATCAATTAGTCAGCTTTATCAATCAATAAGTCAGTCAGTCAATTACAGTCAGTCAGTCAATTAGTCAGCTAATCAGTCAATCAGTTACTCAGTCAATTACTTAGTCAAGCAATCAGTCGTTAGTCAGTCGATTAGTCAGTCAGTAAATCAATCAATCAGTTAGTCAATCACTGTCAGTTAAACAGTCAACCAGTTAGTCAGTTAATCAATCAGTCAGCTAATCAGTCAGTCAGTTACCCAGTCAAACACTTAGACAGTCAGTCAACCAGTCAGTCAATTAATCAAACAATCAATCAGTTAGTCAATTAATCATTGTCACTTAAAGGGTCAAACAGTCAGTTACTCAGTCAATCAGTTAGACAGTCAGGTTGATAAATTAGTCAGTCAAATCAATCAATCAGTCAGTAACTCAGTCAATCTATTAGACAATTTGTCTAAGTGCATCACTCACAGTTCCGCCCCGCACACCAAGCCGCCAAAGTTGGGGATCGCTGTACGAGACACCCCGCATTCTGTCGGATCATTCCTCTTTCCATATATAATGTAGGTTTCTCCCTCTCCCCCCCCCCCCAGTCACAAGAGCAACCCTGGGGGAGCCTCCTCCTCTTTGCACACACACCCCAGAGTAATGTCAGTCATTTGCTCTTGAACCCTGGCGCTTTATTGGTTTTGGCTAACTCATCAGTTGCACCCTGGCCTCCGTTTCAGAAAAGCTTCTCCACACCTTACTATCCTCCATTTCACGTTGCTTCTACCGATCCCCCCGGTTACTTTCGGGGACTCAAGCCTTCCTCCTCCTTCTACAAGCTGGATAGCACCGCCTAACAGCCAACAGAGTAGGCCCTAGTAAGTGCACGGTTTGCTAAACTAAGAATTTGGCAACTGCCGAACCCGAACCGTAAGTGCTCCTGCGTGGTCAGCTTCCTTTGAGGCTGAGGCTGACATACTAGTCCCCCTCCCCACCACAAAGGCGGCGTACTTCTCTGCCATCCTCTCTCCTGCGGACGAGCATGACGGGTTTCTACATTGTTCACCCCAAAAACGGTGTCCCGGAAATCAATTAAAGAGTGCCTTCCCCCTCTCACCCCCTCACCCCAAGTTTAAGCATTGGCATCTTCGAGTCCAAGGCCTTTGCCGCTGGATTCCTGCTTGAACTTGGTCAGGGTCTCCAGGGGCACGGGGAGCGGGGAGCAGGAGAGGAGGAGAGGGCGCACCTGGAGGAAAGGGTTCACGTTCTCCCCGTCGTCCCGGTAGCAGGGCAGCAAGCGGTGCCCTGTGTGGGCCGCCTGGTGCCCCTTCAGCTCCTTCCGCTGGCCGAACACCAGGCCGCACTCAGTGCAAGGGTAAACCCGCTCCACCGTGTGGGTCAAGTGGTGAGTCCGTAGGTTCCCCTTGTACTTGAAGCTCTTCCCGCACTCCAGGCAGGGGAAGGGCCGTTCGCCGGTGTGAATCCGCCGGTGCTTCATCAGGGTGGTCTTCAGGTTGAAAGTCTTGCCGCACTCGCCACAGACAAAGGGCCGCTCGCCAGTGTGGATGCGTTGGTGGGTGACGAGAGTCCCCTTGCGGTTGAAGCTCTTCCCGCAGTCAGCGCAGGAAAAGGGCTTCTCGCCAGTATGGATGCGCTGGTGCTTGATCAGTTCCCCGTTGTGGCTGAAGCTCTTCCCACAGTCGGCGCAGGCAAAAGGCCGCTCACCGGTGTGGATCCGCTGGTGCCGGGTGAGGTCCCCATTGCGGCTGAAGCTCTTCCCGCAGTCAGGGCAGACGAATGGCCGGTCACCCACGTGGATCTTCTGGTGGAGGATGAAAGTCTTCCGGGCGCAGAAGCCCTTGCCGCACTCGCCGCAGACGAAGGGCCGCTCGCCCCGGTGGATCTTCTGGTGGGTGACGAAGTTGGCTTTACGGTTGAAGCGCTTCCCGCACTCGGGGCAGGAGAAAGGCTTCTCGCCCGTGTGGATGCGCTGGTGCAGGACGAAGGTCTGCTTGGAGCAGAAGCTCTTGCCGCAGACGGGGCACTCGAAGGGCTTTTCCCCCGTGTGGACACGCAGGTGGCGCATCAGGTCCCCCTTCTGGCTGAAGCTCTTCCCGCACTCGGCGCAAGGGAAGGGTTTCTCCCCCGTGTGGACACGCAGGTGGGTCACTAGGTTGCCCCGGTGCTGGAACCGCTTCCCGCAGACGCTGCAGGCGAAGGGTCGCTCAGTGGCAGGATTCTTTGGCCGCCGGTCAGCTTCAGCCGTGCCGGAGACGACCACAGTCAGTATTTCCGCAGCTCTGGGAGATCTTCCAGATACAGGCACGGGTGCCGGAGCCGCACCCCAAACCCCAGGAGAGGGCGACTGTGCCCCCTGAGCTGTGCTGCATTTCCTCTTCGACGAACCCCGGGAAGGAGTTCTTTCCGCGATGTCTCTGCACGGCTCCTGGCCCATCTTTCCGTGTGGCGCATTGCCACTCGGCTCCAAGCATCCAGCTGTCAGACGAGAAAGAAGAATTAGCCAGAGCGATCTAGGACAAAGTTCCTACATTTTTTCAACATTGCGTACCAGCGCTGGGGGAGAGAGCGGATGGTTCCGTGGGAGCGGCAGGCACTCGTGCACACCGCTCACACAAACAGATGACACGCGCACAGGCTTGCCTGCTGCTCGTGGAAGTGGGGATGTGCACGCTGACTCACAACTCTCGCTCAAGGCCTCAGGGTTGGGGGGGGCTCCAGATCTTGGACAGGGGTGTCAAACCCAAGGCCCGCAGGGTGCTTAGATCTGGCCTGCGGGGTCACCTGGAAACAGTGAAGAAACAACCCACGGCGCCTCTGCCAGAGAAAATGCTCGGGAGAGCCGTGCATGGCCCCCACAGGCCCCATTTTTGCCCAAGGCAGTGTCCCCTAGAGCCCTCTGTCAGTGTAAACGGTGGGGAGGCCATCGCGGGGAAAAATGGAACCCGGGCAGGCTTCCACAAAGTGGGTTGCGTCCTCAGGGTTGTGGTCCTCTGTCTTAGACACAATGTGAGCCTCTGAACTGATGCAACAGCTACTAAGGACTCATAGGGCGATTGCAAGTCCTAAAGTGGGTCTCCAACTCACCCAGGGGGGGAGAAGTAGGAGAGGTGGAGCAGCCTAAGCCCTCCTCGCCCACCTCGTCATCGTCATCCTCTTCCTCCTCCTCCTCCAGTTCCATCTTTACAATGACATCGGGCTTGGTGTCCGCTGGGGAGAGGAGGAGAGAGTTGGATCAGCAGGGAAAGGGGAATGGGGGTGGGGGCAGCAGCCCCACTGGGGAACAGACCCCCGTATCCGGCATCCACTCCTCTACCCAGGCAGAGCGTTGAGGCTGGGCAAACTCACAGGAATCAGTGCTGGCCTCCCCATCGCTCTCCTCCCAGAGACCGACGTGGTACGACGGTTCTTCCAGCTCCTTCTTGATCCCTGGAACAAGACGGGCAATTGTGTTGTTAACGCAGCGGTGCTGTTCTCCCCACCCCGGAGATGCAGGTGCCACGCTTCCTGGAGGATGGGGAACGTGCCCGGGACAAGCGACTGGGGTCGTTTGTGAAAAGGCCCCTTCCCGTGTGGATGACCAGCCACTGGTCAGCAATGGTATAGGGTCTCCTGCTTGAGAAGGGGGTTGGACTAGATGCCCTCCAGGATCCTTCCAACTCTGCCATTCTCGTATTGGAGACCCTACACCATTCAGAATAAGAGAATGACAGAGTTGGAAGGATCCCAGAGGGCATCTAGTCCAACCCTCTGCTCAAGCAGGAGATTCTTACAGAATTACAGAATCACAGAGTCGGAAGGGACCTTGGAGGTCATCTAGTCCGACCCCTCGCTCAGGCAGGAGACCCTTTACCATCCCAGACAAGTGGCTTCCCATTCTCTCCTTGAAAACCTCCAGTGAGGGAAGCACCCACAATCTCTGGTGGCCCGAGCACCGGTTAACTGTTCTCGGCCTTACCTGGTGTGGGGCTGGACAGCGACAAGCTTCCTGGCTCGGCTGGCTCCAGCGGACGCCCGATGCACAGCTCCTCCCCCGGCTCCTCCTTCACGGCCACGTTGGCCCCTGGAGGGTTGGAGGGGGTCACAATCAAGGCACGGGGGCCAAAGGGAGGTTCCTTGTCGTTCCCCCCAAGTACCCCCGCGAAGTCGGGATGACAAGACCCAACAATCCCGAGCAGAACAAGGGAATGGGGCTTTGAGACCCCAAGCCAATCAGGAGGAAGAAGTCTCCCCCTCTCTGGGCAGGCAGCCAAGACCCCCCCTCCTTACTCTTCAACCTAGATTGAGGGGTCTGCCAGAGGAGGAAGCCCCTCCTCTAAATTAAAGACTTGGTGAAACCTAATTGTCACCAAGGGGAAAGGAAGGGAGGGGGGTACAGAGGGGCAGCTCAAAGAGGGGGTCTCCCTTCCCCTCCAGCAGGCAGACAGGAGGACCTCTCCCCTCCCCATAGACACACACATCTTACAAGGAAGTAGGGGGGAGGGGAATCCCCAGATAAAGGGGTCCCTGTTGTCCGTCAGAGGAGACGGTTGGGTTGCTTCGTTCACTCGTTCACTCGCAGGGAGCAGGGAGGTAAGCGGCAAGCGCAAGACTGGTGAGAGTTCGCTTAAGGACCGTTCAAAGTCAGGGTGGCACTGAGAAAAAGCGACTCCGGACCCTGTTCCGCACTTACGACTGTTGCAGTGTTGCAGAAACAAAAAATCAGAGGCTTGGCCACTGACTCGTATTGATGATGGTGGCAGGGTTCTGGGCTCACCTGACCCCGTTTTACGACCTTCCAATAATCACCGTCCATGGGGGAAGCCGGATTCACTTAACAACCATGTGGCTCCCTTAACAACTGCAAGGATTCTTGGGACAACGGCGTGACTTCACTTAACAACCACTTAACAAGCGTGCGACTCACTTAACAACTGCAACCGTTCGATTAGCCGTTGCGGCGAGAAAACTCATCAAACGGGGAGAAGCTATTTGAACCAGTGTTTCACTTAGCAACGTAAATGCTGCACTCGGTCGTGGCCGTATGTCAAGGGCTCCCGTAAGAGGCGAAGCTATCAAATTGCCATCCAGCCAGAAGCGCTTCTCTCATGGGGGTGAGTCTGCCCTTGGGGGGAATTTGTCAGGTGTTCCCCCCCCTCCAGCCCGGCTGCTGTGCACCCCACCTTATCTGGATCACCCCAATTCCAAGGGGGCCCAAAGACAGAATCTCGCCTGGCGTTGGCTCACCTGGATGGGCAAGGTCTGGTCTTGCCCAAGCGGGCTCCATCTTCGGGTGGTGCCCAGGTGCCCCGCTTCTCATCTCCGACCAAGGGGCTCCCCTCAACCGGTCCTGTTTGGGGCAGGGGAGACGGGACAAGTGGAGGAGGATGAAGCTCTGACACACACACACACCCCCGAGCCAAGAAGAGGGTCCCATACCTCTTCCCAACCTACAGGCGTTTCTTGACCCACCTAGGTAACCTCATCAGTGCTAGAAGGGACGTTGTGCAGGGCAGGACGCTAGGCAGAATCGAATATCTGCAGCCCTGGGTTCAACTGGGGAGGTTCCAGGTGAATACATTACAGGCACCGGCAGTCCTTGACTTATGACAGTTCCTTTAGTGCAGTGTTTCTCAACCTTGACAACTTGAAGTCCNGGGAAAGCAGGTGCCTCCAACTGGTGGCCCACGGGCCGGATATGTCCCACGCAGACCACGTGGGCAAAAAAGCTTCACGCTATGTGACGTCCACGCAGTGCGGCGAATTTGACAGCCGTGCGGTAAAGTCTGCTCTTGGAAAAAGGAGCCAGGAGAAGCCCCCCCCCTCCCCTCCACCCCGTGTGTGTCAGGCCTGCCTCCTTCAATATCCAAGAAAGGAAAACCTCAACTCCATGTGAATAAAGTACTTTTATTGGATGTGAAGTGAAAGCAGCAAAAGGAGAGCAGGATCTGAGCCAGAAAGGCGGAAACATCTACATATCAAACATTTACCCAGCACCCTCCACCCCCCAATCCCCCAACCCACCGTCCAATCTGCAGGTCCCTCAGGTGTGTCACCTGGGGTGCATCTCCAAACAGCCTCATCAGGTTGGTATGCGGTTGGCCTTGACCAAGTCCACACATCAGCCTCCAAGCATGCGCAGAACAAGACTCCTCCAGTACAATATTATTCCCTCCCCCAACACTATGCAACCCCCCCCCCCGTTCCTTTGGCAGCCGCGTAGCAAAGCAGCCGTAAGCAAGTAACCAAAACAGAGGCTGGCAGCGTGCGCCAGGGGCCCCTGAGTTGGGCCGTCCCGCCCAAGAGACGGGAGCAAAAACTCCAGAAATTCAACTTTTATTGATCGGGTGTGCAGGGAGGAGAGAGACGGCTGGCGGTGAGAAGGTTCGAAGGGAGCATCCAGATTCGGGAGTCGCTGCAGGGAAGCGCTGGTCCGCCGTTCGGTCCCCGGGAAGAAAGAGCCAAAGGCCGGGGGGGGGGCTGACCTCTGTGCCCCTCAGGCGGGGTTCAGCTCTTTGCCCAGCTCTTCGGACGCATCTGCATCCTCCATGGCCATGTACTCCCGCCAGCCGCCCTGCGAGGAAAAGCCTAGTGAATGCCGGCCCGGAGGGAAGGTGCCCCCCCAGGGGAAGATACCGTTTCCGACATAGAACCACCCTCAAGCCCACCGTTGTTTTCCTTCTTGGTGGTTTTTTTTTTTTTTTTTGCCCGTTTTACGGCCTTTCTCGCCCCGGTTGTTAAGTGAATCCCCACGGACGTTGCTTGCAAAGGGGGATCGCGCGGGACTGTGGGATGCAGCAACGGTCAGAAGTGTGACCGGCTCACCCCGGGTCTGACGTTCGATGGTGGAACCGCGGGGATGAGACAAAGGGGGTTAACAGTGAAAAAAAGGCACGTTTTAGTGCCGTGGTGACTTCAAACAGTCACTAAATGAACTCTGGTGAGTTTAGGACGTTCTGGCCCTTCTTCAACGCCAAGCAATGCCGTGTGAACTTTTCTGGAGTCCTGGGAAGGACAACAGCAAGGGACTCCA